CCTTTTACAAGTTAGTAAAAAGACTTTTTTAACAACTAACAATATATTCTATATTACAAAAATTAGTAATTACATTACTTGATAGAACAACGTTTCAGTTTTAAGAATCTGTATTTTTAATTGCGATATGAGCATTTTTAACGAAGTTATGGGCAATATAGTCAGAATGTTCCGAATAATTTGGGAATAAGAAATCGTAAAAACATTTTTAAAAACCAATTTTGTAGGGAAAGCTTCCGCGATAGATAGTTGAAAATTTGCTCAAATTTTTTTGGGTACGCTATAGATCTACAAAGTGAAAAAAAATTTTTTCATTTTCTTTATAGTTTTCTGTATGTAAAAATTACAAAACTCACATAACTTTAAAAAATATAGTAACTATTCAAAAGATTTCAAGCTTTAAAACCCTTTTCTTAAATTTTAATTTTGATCATTTTTTATCAAGATATTGAAGGGAGGTCCTTTTTATTAACTTGTAAAAAAACGTTTTTTCTATCCTAATATAATATAATTTAAATTAAATAAAAAAATAATTAAAATTAATCAATCAGTAAACTTTAAATCACTTATTAAATTATTTATTTAATAACTGGTTTAATTAGAATGTAATCTTTTCATTTCATATTGAATAAATCTTTTAAAATTTGCGGTATGTTTATCAATGAGGTGTTCTCGGTTCTTTCTGCAGAGAAAAACCTGAGAGACAAGCTATGCCGGCCTTTTTCCTATTATCGTCGAAATCGCCCGTATACTACCGACAGTACATCCATTTTCAGTTTGGGAATTATGTGACTACATACATTTTCTGACACTATTGATAAAATCATATCGTCGAAATGTGGTTCGTCTTTATACTAAATCCTCAGGATAGAAGCTTGCTGACTATCCATAGGAGGAATAGTTTAATGGGTCCTTGAACAAAATTTTAATTTTAATTTCGCATTTCCTACATGTAAATAAAAGTTGTTGAATTTTAATAAACAAAATTGAAAATTCAAACAAGTTAATTTAGTGAATTTTGTCTTATAATATTTATCTTATATAATATCTCAAAATTACAAAGTTATATTTCTTTATGCAAATTTTCAGCCCGTTTTTAAAAACATAATTGCGAGTATGCATCAAAGTCTCTATAATTATTAGCAATTATAGAGATTTTTAATAAATTCAATCTTTTCTAAATATATATTATCAATTTAAGATATAATTTAGTAAAAATGAGCTACTAATAAATTTAGTTTAGTAACCTGTTTTTGCAGGTAAGTATAGTTTTAATTTATTTTTTATTTTTATGTTTAATTATTTTATTGTATTTTACTAATAAAATTGCAATAACTTTTTTAATATTATTCTTTATATAATTTAATATTATAATTATAATAATTATTTATAATATACAATTATAAATAATTATTATTTATACATACATATATATATATGAAAATACATGTCCAATTAAACTCTTACTTTCAGATGATAAGTATTTAGTAATGTTTATTCGTCTTACGGTACCATTTCTATATGTAAATTGAAGCATTTATTTGTTCATAAACCATTTGAAAGTTTTAAAGATAATATTCTGAGAAATCATCTCAGCATATCATATGAAGAGATCACAAATATGAAGAAATTGTGAGTAGATATTATAATTGACGAAATCTCTCTCTTACAAAAAAGAATGCGAGCTATGTGATATGTATTGGAGAAAGAACGGCAATATTTCCTTTCATTCATAAGTATAATACTTAATAAATTATGTTTTGAAATATAATAAAGCATAATTACCATTTCTAGATCAAAATTCATGTCAGCCTGTGTTATTATACATTTAGGATTTATTATATTAACTAGAATCCGGCTTATCCGCCGACCAACCGGACCGACGTACCGATTCCAATCAACTGTAGCGTGTTCCCCATGATTCTCCCCGTTGTCATTCGTCCAAAGCCATTGCCGAAGTAATGACATACAAGTCAACCACCGCGCCGCGTAGCACGCTCCCCTTGCTGTTCATCGCGCACCCCCACTTCTCGCTGTTCGCCATTCAGATATTTAACTGTCGCATAAAAATATTTAGTTTATTCAATTATTCGTATTTTACATAATTTTGACAAACGGATATCATACATTTTACACTTTGCTTTGTGACATCTCTGGCATTTGTTCAATCCTGTATTACACCGTTCTATAAACGTAATTAGTAATTATTCGCGTGGGGTATTTTTCATATTCCAATATTATGTCTCAATTTTTATTATTTTTTCTAATGATTCGTGCTTAAGTAAAGGTTGATGAAATATTCTGTATATTCTTTATATAAAGATACATGCAAATTTTCTTAATATTGTGAAACAATTTGCGCTAAATACAGCTTTGGTTAAAAGTATTAAATATCTTGTTAATCATTATTTAATTTTTCAGTTAATAAATTAATTTAAGACACTATTATTACTGCAAATTATTCTGTTTCAAAAATTTTTTAAACTTACGTATAATGTCAATCATAATTCAATAAAATAATTGTTATAAATTATTTAAAGTAAAAAATATAAAATAAGTTTCCAAAACTTCTTTAAAATATTAAATAAGAAATTAGTCAGAAGTGTTGTTATTTAAAATAATGAATACTACGCGGCTGTGTTCCAAAATTGTTTGCCAGCGCTGGCAGCACTGTCAACACTGTTCCAAAAATCATCGTAGCACGCTGTGGCAGTGCTGCAAGAGTAAAAACGTCATTTTTGTTGTCATTTCTTGCTGCGGCTGAAGAGGTGAGGCAGCTACAGCATCCAAGATGGCGAGTATCGTTCCAAATTGAAATGCGTATTCGTACCATTTGCATGCTAAAATTAGAACGCTGTTGATAGCATGTTTTTAAGACGACAGACCTGCAGCGCTGGCAATCAATTTTAGAACACAACCTAAATAACTGTTTTATTTTTGGAAATAACTATCCCTCATTTAACTATCCCTCCTATGGATAGTCGGCACGCTTCTATTCTGTGGATTTAGTATAAAGACGAACCACATTTACTTTCAACGATACAATTTTATCGATAGTGTCAGAAAATGTATGTAGGCTGGTATTCACAGTCAGATCTTATATTCAAGACCGTCTTAAGGGGAACTTAAAGCCTCCTGTTTTACCGATTAAATCATGTAATTTTTGTATAACAAATAATTTTTTCTCTTTCACCGATTCGAAAATCCTTTTCTAGGATTAAAGTATATGCATTAATACGTGTATGGGAAGTAGAGTCTATGCCTACACGATCAAAAATTTCAAAATTGATATATTTTTTACCATTTCTTAGTAAAACATGGCATCTTAGCAGTCAAGTCGTGACATTTGCTTGAAATGAATACTTTGCAACTTGTACGAAATAGTGATTCCCAGACACGTAGTTTACACGAACAAGTAACGTCGAGTTCTTAGAATTAGACTTAGACGTTTTATTGCGACGAATTTATTATACGAAAAAATTGACACGAATGTGTGACTGCGTGTAGGTTGCGTGAGATATTGATGTGGTAGTACATAAAAACATGTCGATGCGCAGCGCGACCTCTGGTGACTTCGACGGAGTTCGAGTTTCGCTTTAGGATCCTCTTAAGTACTATCTTAAGAAGTCACGAACCAATCAGAAGGTTGCATTAGCGTCTTAAGACATTACTTAAGACGGTCTTGAAATAAGAATCGACTATGAATACCGGTCGTAGTCACGTAGTTCCCAAACTGAAAATGAATATACTAGCGGTAGTGTACGGGCGATTTCGACAATAAAAAGCATAAAACTTATAGTAATGAAACTGGAGTAATCTATCCAAGCAGTGAGTGCACAGAGTAATAAGGAGATAACTCAAGCGGTCGATCACGAAAAAAATAGGCTTAAAATACGGTGTAGGAAAACTCATGGAAAATCCGGCAATGTGATTTTAGTGCCATCACGCCTTGCGGGAAAAGTTAGAAGTATTGACTGTCACGTGATTACAGGTATCACAGGTCACATGTATGTATATACAGACAAAGACGAACAATCTGTCGGCACTTGTAATCTCGTTACAAGTCTGAGAAGAATTGTCGTAACATATTATTTAGACTTAAATTGTAGATGTAAATAACGGACCGAAATTCGTGGACATAGCCACCGACGAGATATTAAAGACCGATATTCTTACGGGAGTTGGCGTCCTTGTGAATATTGAAGTTAAGAGTTAAAAATTGAAAATATTGTACTATTTTTATGATTTATTAGTTTAGTGGACGTATTTATACATTTAGAATTCGATAATACTCGATTTTTCTTTAAAATTGTGATTTTAGTGCTATTATCAAAGTTTGATTATCAACAGAGATGATAACTGCAGAAAAAAAATTTTAATTTTTCTGCAATATATAGAATATTATAGCTTTACAAGTATGCATATTTATTTATGGAACATTTATGTAATAAAAAATCATGAATTTAATAATGTATGAAACAAATATTTTTGTTAATAATAGTAAATTTATATCAATTGTCGATAATATTAGCGTTCTTCAATTACCTCTGGGCCCTTGAGATCCTTTTTATACTGCCGAAAATTTGCTCAGGGTTGAGTCTTTAATAGTATCTCGTCGGTGACATAGCAAAAAATATAACCAAAAAATCGTGGACATTACCGACCGGATTATAGACATTGGTAGTTCAATGTTTACATTTCGTGGACATAGAGGCGCTTCAAAATAAAGTAACAGTTAAATCCCGGGCTTGGCCGCTCTTAGACTTCTCTTTAGTAGTACTGAAAGCATCTACTGCTTGCATCCCGTTGGTGTCTGATTGGACGAAATTCCATCCCCACATTCCCCACCTTATTATGTGCAATGCTTCACCTTTAGAATTCCACCATGTGTAAACCATTACAAGAATACCGGTTTGTAATCTCACTTGTAACTTTTTCGGTATAATTACTACAAATACTTCAACGCATTATTATTTATATATCAAATTTATGATCATAAAAGTATTGCCGCGTATCAAAATGGAGACCAATCATTTTGGTACTATTGACGAAAGGTATAAATATTTTTTAGAAGTGCAGCTTTGTGTTTGTCATTTTTAATACTGTAAATATATATTTCTTAATAATAAAACAACACTTATGTTTCAGTGTAAATGAGAATGTAATAGGAGCCGAGACTGTTGATGTAGTTTTGGAAGAAGCTGAAATAGTGGATTGCGATGCTAATGAACACCAGGATGATGACATTCAGTACCACCTGTATGCGATAAATAGACGTAACAATACAGTAGCGTACAAAGTTATGCAGGTCAGCAACGATAGCAGAGAGGATAACGAAATTTCGATAGCTACTCCTGTGAATAATACTGTCCAAGTTTTGACTGCACCATTAAGTGGGCAATTATACGTACTCAGTAATAGCAATGACATTGTAACGACAGAATCCACTAAAGCAGTTGTACCTAGTGTAGCTAAATTGCATATAGAAGGATCACAGAATATTATAACCACTGTAAAGAAGGTAAATTATTTAATATTACTGATACATTTTACATTATCGTTATTTTGTGTTTAGAAAGATAATTATATTTAGAGGGATGAAAGACGAAGGGTAACACATAATGAAGTTGAAAGACGTAGAAGAGACAAAATTAGCAGTTGGATTTCTAAGTTGGCAAAACTCTTAGCAGATTGTGAACAGTACATGGATGAAGAAGACACAAAACCGAATTTAGAAACACTAGTAAGAAACATTTGTGAATTCTTATTAAATAAATAGAAGGTTTGTTAGCTGCAAATCAAAAGAAGGACAATGGCTAAAGATGCGAATAAATTATTTATTATTACTTAATTTATTTTCTTTAATTTTTATTCATTCTTGACTGTTGTCCTTATATTGTAAAATTCTTAATCTTCAACTGTCGTCGTGAGTTGTCCATTGGAACCTTATCAAATTTTTCAATATCTATCAAAGTCTATTAACATGCTTTAAATGAGGATCAATGCTAATTTTTAGTTTTTTTTATTAGTTTTGATTAAAAATGGATAAATGAGAGTCTAAATATCAAAAAGATATAATAAAAAAGTTATACGATTAATAGTTTCTTCACGACGTCAGTTAAAAGTATCTTTGTTCGTCTTTTTATCATTTTTTACTTTATAACTTTATGTTGTAACTTATATTATTTGTTAATCATAATATTAATTTATAGAGCAAAGGAGGTATTCTGGCACGAGCTTATGAATACATTATGGAATTAAAAGATGCTCCGGACAAATTAACCCTTAGCTTGAATGAAAATGTGCTGTTAATGGAAGAAATTGACCAACTGCAGCAAGTCGTAACTGAATTAAGAGACGAAAATTCACAATTGAAAAACCAAGTTTCAAAACACGAAGATATAACTATACTCGGTACTTAAATCTTTATAAGGATTATACATCTTTATAAATGATTTCCTGTTCATATTTTGTGTTGCTGATATAAATGAATATCTTTATGACAAGATGGAATAAGAACACACACATGGACAAGTATAATAGTTATAAAATGTTTATTTACATATTTGTAACTCAGCATATGTATATACAGTGTGTACCCAAAATTCATGTCTCACAATACCATAGCAAGAAAGTTTTGGAAAAGTTAAGTAAAAAGTTATTTATGAATTTTTATTTTATTATTATTTAAGTAATAAGTTTTGAAATACAAGAATTTAGATATGGCCAATTGCAAATTATCTATGTATTAATGAGCGCGCTGAAAGGCGCGTTCATTAATACAACTGCAAATGTAATTCATGAACAGATCATCTAAATGTAATTGGCCATATTTACAAATTTTCATCATCCCAAAAATTACTGCTTAAAAATTTATCAATAACTTTTTTACTTAATTTTTCGAGAACTTTCTTACTATAATATTTTGTGTCGCGAAATTTTGAAACACCCTGTGTGTAATATGTGCGTGTTTGTGTGCGTGCGTGCATGTGTGTAGGTGTGTGGGTGTGTGTTTTTGTATTTCTAGAACAATGACAATCATTGTATAACATTCTATTGTACATATTGTAAACAATAATTAGCGAACAATTAATTTCGCAATGACGAATCATCGTCAAGATGATTAAATTAAAGAAATATACAAATATACAAAATGATATCACCGTTTAATTAGTAATCAACTATATGAACGTCAGATATATTGCTTAAATAGTAAGTTTCACTTAATTACTACAAAACGTGAAGTTATTTCTTCTAACAAGAAAGTAGGTCTACAGTATTTACACTTACAAAATACGTCTATATATTTACAGAAAACAGCGATTATGCATTATCTGTGCTTTTTCTCTTGCATCGTTAGTGTAGCGCGAGCTCGCTACGGAAAAAAATAGAAAAAAATTATCTGTTTATTTTATCAGAGTGTACGCACATGGTTATCAATATCAAATCTCAGGAAAAATATAAACACGTTTTTAAACACGTTATATGTACGTAACTGTCTAAATTATAACAATAACTCTTAGTTTAATACTTATTGCTTCGAAGCGTTTTTCCTCAAGTTTTGTGCAGATCTTGTTTGTATGACAGTTTCTGAAAAAAGGGGGAGGGAGGATAGTATTTTCCGAGATATAAATTAATCGCGGTGTTGAGATTACGTTAGATATGTAATTCATCTGTCGATGAGAGACCTGTACATGAGAGCTCGTGAGTGCAAGATACGAAATGTCCACGGATTTCGATTACTTCTCCGTCGTGACAGTGCAAGTACAGTTTTGTGAATTATTTTGTGCTTACTTGTGCATTACACAATATCATGTCCCGTAGACAACACGAGTGTCGTCAAAAGATGCCTGTAAAACTTATTGAGAAGACGTTCCTCTGAAGGATGTCTCTTAAAGTCTCTTGCGTGTTGCTGCTCGGGATCTTTCCACTATTTATTTTTAACAAATTACGCCTTTTTCTTATACTTATGTTGGCCATTAAAGCATTTCATGTATTAGCGATACTTATTGAAAAAATCACATTCGAACTAATGAGTCATTTCTTCTATAAAAATAACTCTGAAATGAGTTGGGTCCAGCAACAAATTGCGCCTCTCCTAAATCTAAACATCAACAGGCTAATGATCTTTCTGTACAGTAGGAATCTTGATCCATTCTTTTATCATTATATTGTCCTCGTCATATATAGTAATTTACGCTGTCGGGAAATAAGTAAAAATATACTTTTCTGTGTTATACAAAACGTAAGTATCGTCTCGCCCATACTTGTGTTACATTCCTTTAGACACAAATATCAAAAAGACAGAATAATTGCGTTTGTCCCTCGTATGTATGTAGAGAGAAAATCGAAAACGCACCGATCTTTCTCTTATTACAGACCGGATTAAACAATTTTAATGAACGAAGACGTATTTCTTTAAACTTATTGGCAGTGTTGGAAACTTTCAGAATCCGTGATTAAATCGCTAAAACTGCAAGATCGAACATTTTGTCAAGGGACCGCATAGATAATATGCACAATTAACACAGAAGTTTTGCTGGCTGACAGATATTTTCTCGTTGCTAGATCATCTTTCATACAAGAGTAGAAAACATTGAGAGAGATTCCCTCGATCATCTCCTTTTTCCTCTTTCTTCTTTCTTTCATCTTTTTTTTTCTTTTAAAAGTTTAGCGCTTTATATCGCAGTTGAATAAGGAGGCGTGATATGCGAGTACTTACATATCTTGACTAATCACTTTTTTCATCTGTATGAATAATACTGCTACTATGTTGTTCCGCAAAAACATAAACTTTTATTTTTCTTTCCTTTTGCTCTTGCGTTTCATCTTCTCGTTTTTTCCTTGTCCTTTCGCCGTTCGCAATTTCGTACAAACTACTACAAATATTTTACCATTATGACGCGAAATAACGAACATTAGTTAGGCAGTAAGAGTTACCTTGTATAGCTCGCTGAAGATTTTCTCTACAAAATACATCTATATTTTCGTTGAGAGAAAAGTGGTATGCGGAATCGCTGATCAGAATTTCCTCGCAAAATCAATCAATATGAATTTCGTGATCGAACTTGCTAACACTTGCGCAGAACGTGTTATTAGAAACGATTCTCGTTGTACATAAAATTGGTCGAAAAAATTATTCTCAAAATAGTCAAATAATCTAGACGAAGGCGAAGCTCATTTAATTCAATTCAAATATTTCCTGATCGATCCCGTCGCATTTCTCTCTCAAGATTACAACCTCAAGGTTTTCTCTTGAGGAAGCATCTCGGTCGTCAGTCTTTCGATTATCATAAAAAATACAGCCGTGTGACGTACCATGCCAGCTTTACCATTCAAAAAGCGATTGCGTGTGTAACAATACATCATATATTATGTATATCATGTTTTCATCGGCGTTTACCAAGAATTCGCGATGAAGAATGACTAGTACTTTCTCTTTAGTACTTCATAAGCCCGCTATTGACTTTATGTTATATTTACTATCTACTTCTCTAAATGTCTCTCTCTACTTTTCTAATCTACCCTCATGTCCGTTGCTATTAATGTAGTTTTTTAACGTCAAATATCTACAAGATCGATTATACATCTTTTTCAGCTCGTAACAAATATTTTTCTTCTCCGAGACTGTCTTTAGACAGTGTTAATCTCAGACTGAGCACCGCCGTAACGTAACGTCGAAGATGATCGAACATTGCTTTAAGACCTAAGAATTAGAGGAGCACCGATTCAAAGACTCACAAAATCCTGGTTAGGCATAATGAGCGACTTTTGCTCGCAAATATCTAAATTGGACGATGACATTTGATAGAGACAAACGTCTGTTTTCGCGAGAGAGGCAGTAAATGAAAAATCATTGGAAGTTTCTTCTATTTTCCTCTCCACGGACAATGATCAAGATCGGTGGATAGCGATTATTTTCTCTGCCTTAGAAAAAGATTCGAGGTATACTTCGTAGGACAAAATCCACTTATGAATTAACACCTCCGTGCCGTACATATGACGAGGCGCTGTTCATCCTCGGTCCTAGCGATCAGTGGTTCGTTCATCGATCCACGAAAAATAATTTCCACGATTTGACTCGTTGCAAAGTGAGCAGTATCACTCTGATTGGAATATCAGTTAACAAAGATATTCTCGAGTGTCTGCTCGCAAAGGTTCCTGAGCAACCAATTTTCGAAGCAACCAATATCGAGATGTATCGCGCCAGGATTTCGATAGGACGATGCAGCGTCATTAGCTGCAGCTTACAGGTCAATATACGGTACGAAGGTAGGCCTGTCTCAGGACGGTTGAAGCCGCGCGCTTTTCTTACTGCTACCAAACATGAACCATGTCCCGACTTTCCGTCCCAACGAATTAGTGGTGCCTTGACCACCGACCATTGTCGTGGGCATCTCGTACGCGGACTCCCTTTTATAAGTTTTATCTGCAACATCGTTAAATTAATGTAAGATAAAATAAATTGATATCGAATAAATCAAATTAAATCGGTCAAAATCGGATACAAATGCATACAATATAAAATGCGAGATATTACAATGAAAAATATTCCAAAGAAAAGATAAAAATAGAATCCTGACTGAGGTAATATTTTTCGCAATAAGTTCTTTACAGAATTAATTTAGAGGAAATTATTTCATATATATAGGAATATCCGAATGTTTCGGCGCCTTATATTTATATTATTAGCGTCTCAGAACGACTGTGGTTAATGTTGTCCGAACGTTTCTCGACGCACAGTGATCACATCTGACAAGTAACACTACCCAAGTGCCATACGCCGATTTTCCTGAGACTGTGCATACATGTACATTGAAAAATATCTGATACGTATTCTTTTATATCTGCCCGAAAGCCGGTTTTTTAAGGATAGAAAACTTATGAATGTATAGGAGTGAATTCCAGTATTTAGTACTTTAAGTAAAGTGCTCGAACGTTTGTTACTAAATGGGGTGATTTTTGAAGTTGCTGAATCCAAATCTGGTCCCAATTTTTGAGAATTCAATATGGTGGAACCAATATGGCGGATTTTTTTTTAAATAAAGACAGCAAGACATTCTCACTCTCTGCCAAACCCGGGAATAACGACCAACATGGAGGTGGCGAGAAACTATTCCTTTTTTTTTATATTTTTTGCCTTTTTATTTTTTTAGATTTTTGAAAAAATTTTTTGTTTCTTTTTGAGACTTTTAAAATGAAGCATATAAAGGAGCTGGAGATAAAATTATTATTATTATTAGATGCTCACACTTTATATTGAATAATAAAAAAATTGTTTCAAAAATTTTTTTGAAAAATCTAAAAAAATAAAAAAACAAAAAATTAAAAAAAAAAAAGGAATAGCTTCTCGCCATCTCCACGATGATTATTCCCGGGTTCGGTAAAGAGCGAAAATATCTTGGTCTTCATTAAAAAAAAAAATCAAATATTGAATTCTCAAAAATTGGGACCAGATTTGGATTCAGCAACTTCGAAAATCACCGTATACCCTATTCTGTAACAAATGTACGAATATTTCGTCAAATATTGGAATTCATCCCTATACATTCATAAGGGCCTTTTCTATCCTTAGAACGGTTTTCGGGCAGATATAAAAGAATACGTATCAGATATTTTTTCAATGTACTACATGTATGCACAGTCTCAGGGAAATCGGCGTATGGCACTTAGGTAGCGTTACTTGTGAGATAATTAAATCTAAATTAAAAATCTATATTGTATTCATAACATTTAATTTTCACCGATTATTGGCGTTCTCTCTCATATTTATGTATATAATTTACACGATCGTACTTATTCTTCAAAATAAAATTGTATTTTATTAATATGATTATAGATAATGTCACAGTGGGAAATATTTACTGCGAGGTTTGATCGGTGGCCTGTTCTGCTGTCTGCTGGCGGCAAGCCTGGCAAGTTGCCTAGCTGCTGCTGGAAACTCCAATCCATCGTTTCTATCCTGAGCCACCAGCCTTCTTTCCTCAGCCATTGCCGCTAGCCATCGCCGTTTCTCTTCCGCTGTACGGCAACAAAAAAGTAGCCATTTGTCTCGGACGCAGCTGTACACCTTTAGGCAATGTCTCACTGTTACCCCCGATTGAAGATCTACGAAGAAAATCAATTATTAATTTGATATATTTTCATTACAAATCGTGATCAGTTATACATCGTATGTTCTACCGATTCTATTTTAATTATTTAATAACGTGCTTTGCTATAATGATAGTAATATGCAAAATAAAAAAATAATAAAATAATATAAAATTATAAAATTTATGAATTACTACTTTCTTATCGTAAAAGATATAACAATTTAAATTATCAAGAAATGCCATTAACAGCATTACCTTTTCCATCAGGCACATCAATGACTTCGCTAGTGTCGAGATAGATGCGACCTTTGTAAACGTAAGTATTACGCTTGAGAATGTCCTTCTTGCAATAGACCAGTTGATGATCGAAAAGGAATAACGTAATATTATTCGTCCACATGCCGGTCTTCACTCTCATCGCCTCACCTTGATAAATAAGTTGCGACGAAACTTCTATGAGATCCTCACCCTGCGACCGATTGTCATCGATATTAAACATATTTCTCAACAATTTTTTTTAATTAACCATTTGAAACCAAATAAAGATCGCATTATTCAGGTAAATTCGGTATTGTAGCCAAAATGTATATTTCAAAGACAATTTTATTTGCAACTATGAAAAGTGACATACCTCCCAACCTTCTACACGCAATTGCCATGCGGCTAACTTTTCCAAACTTTCCATCCGCCTTTTTCTCTCGTTGATCAATACAGCGACGTCTCTCATCGCTTCCAAGGCCTCCTGGATCTTGTGATAATCCGGATGATCGGTCTTCGTATATTTCAACAGCTCCGCCAATTGAAGAGGATATTTGCATATTCGTTGGATGGGAGTCAATAAATATCCGTCCAAGGGGATTTCTATGAGGCCCCTCATCAATCGACAAGCCTCGAAAAATTTGCTATAACGATTGTGCTGATAAAGCTCTTGCAGCGTTGCCGTGGCCATTGGGTGGCTGTTGCAGTATTCGGAATACATGCGAAAACCCGCCCTCTGAAAGAATCAATAGCACCTCCTTTTTCTTTAACTTTATCTAAAGGTATATAAACAGAATTCTTCCTAACGTCTCTCTAACTTTCAATATATAGTCCAAGAAAGTTAAATATAATGAACACACTTATATATGCGTATCAATTAATTCATTATTCGTATAAATGGGATTATCAAGAAAAAAGGAAATTCAATATAAATTTGATAATGCTAACATGATTGAGGAAGCATTCGCCAACGCAGCTTTTGTACGGCGCGTTCCAGTCGATGCGATCTTCGAGGTCCTTCAGGAATTCGGACTGAAAGTCTAGGAGCTCTTCGAGGTTGATGAAGATCGTCTCGATCTGCTCCTCGGTAAACATGTCCGTGCGCCTGCGGCATTCCGCGATGTAACCCTCAGCCACGTCGCGCAGAACTTTGACGAAATCGCGCTCAGTCTGGACCAGCTCGCGGACCACGCTAGTCCTCACTTGCTCGTTCGAGAGTAGGGAGATGCTTGTTCGTCTTCTGAGCTGAGTACCCGAGGATCCTCCCGAAGCCATCGCAGCCAGACAATCCTCCACCGTGTCCTCTTGGCTCACGCGCAACTTTACAAACAAATTTATTTCACTGAATTTATTTATTATTTATACATTTAATTTAATTTAATTTAATTACGTAAACTACTAAAAATTCGATAATTAAAATAATTATAAAGTTATAAATATGAAAAAATAAATAATTACGATATTATTACTCGAGATAATTCTAATAAAGATAAAAAATAGCGTGTGTAATTCGTTAATAAATTATTATTAATATAATAATTATGTTGTGTACGTATTAATTATTTTATTAAACATTTTATGTATGATAAATAATATTTATTATTATTATAAAAATCGTACGAATTTATTTAAGGATATTTACCCTGACAAAAGCGGCAGGAAACCATCCATACTCTCCTCTGCAGCTACCCCACCACCAATCCCTATCTAGGGTATCGAGGACATCGATGACATCCCCAGCACGAAAAGCTAACTCTTCCGACTCCATTGCCACATGATCCCAAACGGCCTCGGCTAACATGACAATCTCCTCATCCATCGTTTGCTCGAATGATTTTTTTTTATCCGTCAAGGAAGCGATCGAAGATTCGGAATCAGACATCATTTCATCGTCTTCTGATGTTCCGGCTCTTCCATCCTGCTCGTCCTCTGATAGCACGTTGCCACTGGGTAATCTCGCGCCTACTTTTTTAAGGAATAGAATTTGGTTGTAGTAGAAATAAATAAACAACGTGAGTACATACCCTTAAACAGATTGCCCAAATATTGACTCAAATTTGAAATAAAACGTAGTTGAAGAAATAAAAATGGAAATTAATCGGCACGTATATCGATAATATATTGTTATCTTTTTAATAAATATATTGCAACTTATTTGCAAAATTACAAAAAGAGGATATTAAAAATATATAAAAAAATAAACCAAACAAAATTAACTTTTTCAAAGAAATATCTTTTCATTTAATTCTTTAATATAAATGCTTTGTCTGAACAAAACAATCGAGTCCTACAAAGCGTCCTATAACGTGAACGACATTTCGCTCCGTTTACGCTCGTCGAAGGATCCCTCTGGAAGTTATTGGGACAACAAGTACGTCAGCCCCCGGGCCAAAAACCGTCCATTGTGCAGCTCTCGGTGTGAGCGGAAAAAGAATGAAACAGTAGTTTTCATGAGATTCCTCGGGAGAAGGTAACCAAGCCCGCCGGAGTATCTCTCTTAAGTATTCAGTTAACCGCGTACGTGCGAATTGATCGCACCCTCGGGAAGTCGCATCTCTCGCAGGAGGGAGAGCTACGAACGTGCAAGAAAATGCTTTTACTAGGTTCTCCAGCAAACCGGGTTCCTTATTACTATAACGCAAAACAGAAACGTTTCCACACGAAGCAACGTTCTTACTAGGGATGAAACTGAGCGTGATTATTACAATAGGGACGTCCCATTCCTTACTCTCGCACAATTAGCTTCCCTTCTCTTTTCTTTCTCTTTATTAAGAGGGTGCATTCAATGGCAACACGATGTGAATGTTTCAACAATATCTTTACGAGGAATGCATGCTGAATACTCTTCAAGGTGATGTCTAGAGAGAAACTGGTGATCTCTGTGG